ATCAGATTGAAACTAGAAAAAAAAACTGCACTTCATTAACCATTTATGAAAACAAATCTCAAAAGAATTTTTAGATATCAGATACCTGTGGCAAACATTACTAGTACACATAACCAGAACTGATCTGACAAACAACAACCTCCAGGAACTTATGTGGGGAAATTACCTTTCACTGATGGGCCACCTCCTAGTACAAAACCCTTGGCATGATGAGCATTGTCTTTTGTGGGCTCTATCTCTTTTTTAACAGAAAACCTCATATTTCATTGCTCCCTTTTTACAGCCATAAAGTTCTTGAACATCTTGGGCGGGTGTCCATATTGTATTTTTTATATGACATCGGGCAACTCATTGGCATCTCTCAGTCCTTTACTTATGACTTTTATGGAATGCCCAGTATTCTGATCTTGAATAAAGCTCCTAAATTTTTGCAGATTCAACCCAGTTAAAGAAATTGAACCGTGGTGAAGTGCGATCCAGACATTTCAGGCCAAGGCAAACCACCGATTCTAGAGATCTCTGCCACATTACATACTATACCCAGCAGGACACTGTTTTGCATTACTATTGTAAAGACAGACAGAAAGGAGTTGCAAAACTCTTTTACAACCAAAACAAAATGGCCAACTAAACCATGTGCAAGACTGCAAGATTTCTTCCTCATAACCTCATGAATACGCATTTACTGTATAATTCAATTCAGGTTTTATTTGGCCAACTTATGAACTCTATGAACATGAATTGTTGCATCTTAAAATCTGTAATTGCTTTCGATATGACTCTTACCTTTACACGGATTTATCACAAAAACAGTGCAAGACAAAATTAGATTTAAGCAAAAAATAAGGCATTCAGCCCCCTTAAAGATCTTTAAAAGGATATTAACATAAACAAATACATTTACATAGAACTTAAATCTCTAAGCTTCTAACTTTCAGAATTTAAACAAAAAAAGTAGCTTTAAAGAAGAATATAAAACCGAAGAGCATAAAAAAGGGATAAGAACTTTGCATTAAACACACTCATAAACTAAACCTAACTAAAAGATGATATTTAATGAGGTCAGTACACATAACACTTTGCTTTTATTTGTTCCTTAATAATAAGGAATAATAATTCCTTAACAAGTATCCAAGAACTGAAATCTGGTATAATGGGGGGGAAAAAACTACAGCTGTACTGTTACAAGAAGAGTCCAGTTACCACAGTAAGAATAGGGCACCACATAAAAATACTTTACACCTCCACACAATTTTCTTCCTTGTTTTTACCGATGTAAAGCAGGCGACCCACCGTGAATTGCTATTGTAAACCCCAGGGGATAGTCTCTTCACCCCCTACTCAGCTGCAAACCTCATTAAGGTCCTACAGGAAAGCTCAAGGCACGCATTCTAAGGAAACTTGCTAAATGAGGAGTAAAACATAGAAAGGCATTCTGCTTGCGGTGCGTTTCTATGGTGTAGTGTGTTTAGACGGCAGCGTAAATGACACGGCGAAGGGCCGCGGGGCGCTCAGACCAGAAGGAGGGTGCAGTCATATGGGTTTCCGCTGCAGTGCGAGTGACGAGGCCAGAGCAAGCCAGGCACTGCACTTTCAGACTCCAGCTCTGCCTGGCACACCCCCAGACCGGAGAGACGCGCACAGCCCCGTTCTGCGGCGCGGTCCTGCCTCCTCAATGCGAGACGCGCTCGGGTGTCCCGTAGAACAACGCTGAGGAATCTCAGAATCTCCCCCTGGAGAGCGCGTGCGGCGCTCTGCAAACGAGCGCCAATCTTCTCTCAACAGTTTGTAAATAGTACAGCAGACATAACAACACATAGGATACTAAATCTAAACAGGAAAGTTATAATTCATGGTAGCAGAAGCCAAAGCAAACAACTCCTTGAACTACTCCTGCCGACTAAAAAAAAAATAAAAATCGTTGCCCAGATATGAAAAGCCTTCAACTCGAAGTTTAAATATAGTAAGTGCACTTTTTTAGAAGAAGTGAGGCATTATGTACTTTGTGGAAAAACTGGCGAGGGAAGGTCTCTAGAGAAAAACCTTTAAAACTCTTTACATCTTTACAATGTTTCACACAAAGAACCATTATTAACAGCGATCTTACAAACTCACACAAAACTGCTGTTGCTTGACCCATTCCTGCAAGATAACCACTGCCTCAGAAAAACTAAATGGTGCACAATCGGTGCATTTTTCTTTTTCTTAATATTTTACTAGTCAGCCTCAGAGATAAGGAAGGCCTGGGAGTGACCGAGCAAACCAGAACACCTGTTTCAATAGCTTTACAACAAACTCAGTGCAGCAGATGTTCAGACAGCAGTGAGTAGACATTGGTCTCAATGTCAGACAGCACTCTATGCAAGTTTAAAAGATTGAATGGGGAGACAAACGGCATACATTCTGAAGAATGAATAAAAAAAAGATCATACATTTCTGAATTGTAAATGTATTTTCCTAACAAACACATATAACACTTTACCTATGTAAAAAAAGGACCCCCAATTACACAGTTGTAGCATGAGACATGACTGTATGCACTGTATACATGCAATAAGTCAATCTACTGGTCCTACTCAATCCTTAACAGCACTATCACCGTTACATGCAGAATGACTGAACTTTCTCTACAACATAAGAACTGTTTCTCTGTTAATGCAAATACAAAACTGTCCTTTAAATAAACATGGAGGAATTGCAATCATTCATTATAGCTACAGACTGCAGTGCTTTGGGGAGTCCTGAAGGCTTGCAGTGACCTGGATTAGAAAGACCACACTGTGTTTATGGATTCCAAGTATTAAGCACTAATCTCCAGGATTAGCAAAGTAGGTGTTTTTGGGTATTTCTGGTGGGCAACAGAGGGGAAGCAAATTCAGATACTTCTCAAACAGCTGTCAACCACAGTACATGCATGCACTTGCACAGTACTCTTTGCTGGGCTTTTACGTGCCAAAACAGCTGTTGCAAACTGTTGTTTCAATGTTTTTTTTTCCCCTTAAAGCCCATTTTTGTTCCTATTAGTCTTCTAATCCTTGTTCAGTAATTTCTCATTAAACCAAGAGCACGGAAGGCGTCTAAAAATAAAGGAAAAGCACCACAGTTCATCCACTGTGAAGAGGTGTGACTAGGAAATTCAGTACCACCTTCGATGAGCCCAAGGTTTCAACAGAGGATCAATGAGGTTACCTCTCTGCGCTACTAAGGCTCCTGTTCAGCCACGCTGGCCCCACTGTTAAACAGACAACCCGAGTTGACTCGGTTCTGCAGGAATCAATGGCTATATCCTCAGATTAAAAAAAAAGACTTTCTTCTTTGGAAATTAGAATTAGGGAACACTAACTTCTGCTTGGGACATGGGACTGTAATGTGGGACACCAAATGGCCACAAAATTAAAAGAACACGGGTCAACTCTATACAGTCAGTTCGGGTCTGGGTATGGCTTCTGCGCTTCCGATTGCATTGCTGGACTTTCAGGGACACTTTTTGGAGAAAGTGGTCACCTAATTTTCCTATATCACCAACTCTTCTCTCATTGGCAATTCTAAGTTATCTACAAGTCCCCTGCTGGACTATGTTCCTGCAGGACCAGGCAGGAAGTAATACTAATCCACGGCACTGAATTATCTGGCCTCACAACACTTCGTGCAGATCGCTGGCTGGCGCTCAATGTTTGACACCGGGGATAAAGATGTGAGAGAGGCCGGCAAGCTGGTTCCCATTCCGTCTGCGAAACAGCCAGCCGACGCGCCCGGGGGAAAGCTGACACTGCGGAGAGAACAGCTGGCCTTCCTCATACAGCACCCAGCTCTGCCTCCGCTGCCAGCCTGCCTCTCACGATCAACAGCGCCGGAGGAGGAGGAGGAGGAGGAGGAGGCATTTGAGCTCCAGAGCCCGACCTACCTTGCAGCTGTCACCACGGAACAGCTCACAAACGGAGCGAGCCCTAAACTGAAGGGCACGGTTTTTTTTTCTTTCCATTCTACGTGTAACATAAGTCACAGTCAAAAAAACCTGGTAACATTTTCCCTTACAACAATCTTTTCACCAACATGTCAAAATAATTTCCATTACAGCGCTGGCGAAGTAAAAGGGTGAACCGAGCGCTGTGTAAGAAGGGAGCTTTCCATCCCACTTCACACAGCACAGCTTTCATCTTATAAGGAGCACCAGCACAATTACTGGGACTGATATATTTTAGACAGCTTGCGCTTTCAACTAGCTCTGGATGGTAAGGTACTTTTGATTACAGGCCTCTTTATGTACTGAGTAATCAACTACTGTAGCAGGAACAAGGACACATCGCCGTATGAAAAATGCAGACAGCTTTCCTGCTGAAAGCAGCCATTACCAAGGACAAAAGAAAAAAAAAGCTACAGCAGAGATGAGAAAAAGGAATGATTAAACAGAGGTCTCAAACAATACAACGTACCCACAAATCGCTTCCAATAAGCAAAGGCAACTAAAATGAGCCTTGCTGTGCATAATTCCAAACTTTAAGTTGAATGAGAAACATTGTTATAGTAATTATGACCACAAAAATTCCACACTTAATTTGCACATGATTACATATCCCCAAAAATGATCTACAAGGAATGAAAAACTAAAAATGATGATCCCAACCTGTGCTACTTTGATACTTCATTTTTAAACCACGCTGTTTTAAAACCGCAGCACTACACAAACACCATCTTACATGAAACCCTTTAAGGCAGTGTTAAACGCTTCGACAGGAGATCCCATTTAACTGAAAATCCAGAATATCAAACACGCTTCTGTGGTTGGCACAAGATACTTGTGCTTCATGGTCATGGTCAAGAAAAAGACAGAAGGAAAATCGCGGAAGAGGAAGTGGGCGGGCTGACTGGATGCACGAGAGGGTGAACTGCAATGCCACATGCACACGACTCGTTAAAATCAACTCCCGCCACCACTGCCAGCAGCCGGTCAGCTGGAGCCACGCCCCGGCGGGGGAGAGGGTCACTGGGAGGCCACTCACCTCCGTGTCGTAGATCTCCTGCGTGTTGTCCAGCCCTTGAACCCGGATCTGCAGCCCCCTGCTTGGGCCCTTGCTGCCAGAGGCCAGGGCGGTGCTCAGGCTCTGCCCCGGCTCCAGGGTACTGATCCCCACATTGGCCTGGGCGCCCAGGCGAGTACCGGGGGTCTGCAGGACGCGATACGAGCCCTCGATCTCGCCCATTGCTCACCTGCGGGCCACCCGACACCCTGCGAAGACAGAGATGAGCAAAGCTAATCAAGCAGCGCGCTTACGTCCATTCCAGTCCCACATCGGTTAACACCTCAGCCCCCCAAGACCGCCTTAAACAATCCACTTTCATAGCCTGCGGTTTCACACGGCGCGATTTCTCAGAACTTGTTAAAAAGGCTCCGTACGACCGCTGTCATTTCATTTTGAACTATTACTTCCCATAAAGAGCTGTTTGTTCACAGGGGAAAAAAAAAAAAACTTCTAGAGATGCAAATTACTTCGCATGAAGTTGAGAACTCAAGTTAAATGCTTCAGGGCTGTGTACCAGCTAATCTGCGAGTGCATGAGTATTCCACACGGACAACAAAGAACTACTATGAACACCAAGCAACAGAAAACAAAAAAAACGCAAAATGAAACCTTAAAACTGCTGGATTCTCAATACCTGTTTGTTAAAAATGCTCCATAGAGCAATGCTGCTACTGTAGGTAGCACATCGAGATCTTCCCCTGGTATAAACTCTGATAAAGCAACCAGGAAATTCCTCAACACTGGACACAGATCAGAGCGACTGTATCACAAAGAGCCTTTCACAGTTCAACCAATCACTTACTGCTTCCCAAATACTGTTTTGGAGCCGTACCGATGGCTTGAATTCTCGACTTCTGACTCACTCTTTTTAAAGGGATTCATCTGAATAAAGGTCTGTGTGGGTGAGAATACAGCATAAATGAAAAGTGCCAGCTGTGCAAAGCCACAGATTTAAAACACGGCCACAGGGGAGCGATGTAAAATCTCCAGCCTCTCGTCAGTTATAGCTATTTTTGGTGAAACTGTCATAAAAACACAAGTTCAAAATACATTTAAGGGCATAGAACAGGACAATGAATGATTTAAGCACAAAAATGAGCATGATTTAAGCATAAAAATAGCAGTTCCTTGACAGACAGCAAGACACTAACAAATCAATGCACTGAATGCAGAAAAGAACATTTCCACTAAGCATTTCTTGCTGGGCTCTGCAGCATACGGACAAAAAATGACACTTCTTTGAACGGGCACGCTAGTATCCACAAGCCAATGACAGGAGTAATAACTGAAAAGCCGCAAAAACCTAAATCCAGACTCGTCAAATGATATTGATGATATTACAGAAACTCACACTTGCATCGTGTTTCTGGGATGCATAACTGGAAAGATTAAAAAAAAAATGTTAAAAATCCCCATGATGAAGCTAAACAAAATGTACAAACACGCTAGCTAGCATTAGCTAAAATGCGGTCACATGGAAAACCTAACTGCACGCAAGACGTGTCATTGCTTGCAGGGTCCATCTGCAGACACCTGTCCCTTTGCCTAACCTCTGAGCATGTCGCAGGATGAAGCACACCTACACTGCACCAGTAAGTTTCTCATCCAAATCACTTTCTGAGCTCATTTTTAAGCGGTTTCTTATCAGGAAACGACAACCGTTTGGTTGCGAGTCCACTAACGTTTTTTCTTGAACAGACGTGACACCTGTCAATTCTGCCTGCCAAGTATCGCGGTCACCGAAGGGACTGACCAGTATGGGAGCTGCCATCCTTCTGGGGAGCCATCGGGGGTCCTACACAAAACTGCGATGCAGTAGTGAAGTGGGCGTGTCTATCTGAAGCAAGCAGCCCATCCCCTACCATGCTAACAGCCTGATAAGGGAAAGTTACCGGTGCCACTCTGTGGTTTTCCTTCAGCAGGATCAAGCACCTCGTCACCTGTGTCTAAGTAATGAGGTAATTTAGTGCTTAGAATACAACAACAGTCTAACGGTTTATGTATTTAAGCCCAAATGACTCAAGTGTGTTGTGGGCAGTCATGAATGATCAATTAATCAAAGTGCCGCCAAACATGTAATCAATATTGAGAATCTCTATACTTTATTTTGCTGAAGACAGACAGAGAGCAATGTTTATCTCTCTTTGATGCTTTGTTTGGTACTCAGCCACCACAGAAGAGGTGACTGTGGCGAAGTACTGTTTATAAAATAACGTGCCCGTATTTTAAATCCAACTGACTGAAGTCAAGAAAAAAAAAGCAATGATTTAAAAATCAACTGTTTTAGAGTGAGATCACAGAACTTTCTTAGACAGAGGATCTTTTAGTGTTAAATCTATTTTGTACAGCAAAACGCCTTCTCCCTGAGGACTGGGAGAAAGTGTCAAAATGTCACTATTCTGGCAACGCCAATGTCAACAACACCTATTAGAGAGACAGCCCAAGTCAGACAAACACTGCTAAGGCTCTTTTAACGACAGTACGACACACTGCTAGCCTAGCAGTACTCAGAGACATGTTAAATACTCATGTGTATGAATTACTGTAATAGTGAGAAAAAGAACAGTTCAAATAAGTCAATTTACAGGAAGCCCCTTCAAAAGACCATGTAGAGGTTATTTTGAGATATCTTCCAAGACTTATTTTGCATTAACACCCACAAGAAAGAATAAATCACATAGGTTCAGAACTGGAAGTGAAACACCAGTATAAAAGTTGGTGTATTCTTTTTGTTTTTGCTTCATGTCCCAAGTCATCCTGTACACAGTAAAAGTACAGGAAGGGGGTGTTTTCACATGGCATTACACGTATTGAATCTTAAATTAAAGATCAGGAAACATCTTCAAAGACACAAGAAAACTACAATATGATACAAAAAGCAAAATACCACTGTAATACACTGAAAAAACCTTAACCCAGTACCATAATATATCCCTATAGCTTTTTTGGTATTCCAGCCTATAATTTTTGATTGTCTGCATTTAATTTCTTAATTGTTAACTCGGAATTGTCAAATAATCCACAACTTAAAAACCACCTTTGGGGAACACCCAATGTCTTAGTCAGTAGTGTTAATGTCTACCTTTTGCTATTCTTATTTCACTCAAGTTGGTCGAGATACCGAGAACTGTGCCGTGGTGGTAAAAACCATCCAGCTATTTTTATAATTCCGTGTTATCGATGCAGGTCAAGGAAACTCTTCCTCATTGTGTACCGTCAGTGAAAAGCTTGCAAGTATTTTGATTGTGACAATAAAGCCGCCCTCCACCTTGTTGACTATCTGACGTCACCCCCTTCTGTTACAGTAGCAGGCCGTGTGACAACTCGGTTTGTTGACATTTTCCCGGGGTCAGTCAACGCGCATCCTGACGACTCCAGAGCAACCGGCTTCTCGGCGTGAGGGAGAAATAAACTCTCTTCAGGCTGTTTGTTTTTCTGAAGAGAAGAAACGTGACCAAATAATCCCTCGACAGTCTCATTTTACAATACAACAATATCCACTGACATTTTTGCTTCAAGACTGTTTCCAAGACACCACGCTTCGTTTGGGCCATACCTCCACACTGTGCTGTTCCCAAAAGAGGGCACAGTGAATCATTTCTAATTCCGACTCCCACAACACGTCGACATTGCTACCCACACATTTCCGCGGAATAAAGCCCATGTCGTTCGGAGAACGGTGACCATCCTTTTACCTTTCTTTGTGTTGTCCGATCAAAACCTAGAAATCTGAACTTCGTTTGCTGAGCCAACTACAGCACACTTGCTCGCGTTTCTCCGTTACATTATCGCCGCACATTTCCAACAAACGAGACTTTCATTTAAGCAAGTTCAAAGGGCACGGCCGAGCAACTATCGCTATCAACAGCAGCTTTATGGGGGAGAAAACCTATTATGCCTAGTCACGGTTGTATGATGAAGGGCTTGCTGCTGGTTTTGGATATACAGTATTACTCAAATGCGACATCTTTTAATATTACAGAAAGGCAAGTGTATCAACTTTTGGGAAAACACGCAATCGCTGAAATGCTGTATATTCCTGAAAACAGGTTGCGACTGGAGTAAACTTTACTGGCGTTAAAAAAAAAACAGGTATTCGCCCATCCACTCGACTAAACCAGCTCCTTTAAAACGGGAATTTCCAAATGTGTTGTACCTTGCCCCAGAATACTAAGATTAAATTCTTAAAACGTTTGGTGTCAATAAGGTTTGAACTGAACTAAGCAGCACATCGCAATCGGTAGTTAATAATGCATGACAGAGTCGCATGGCCACGTTCCCGAAGTCTAAATGTTTGTTAAAGTCCATCCAACATTTTTGCATGTACATGTCGCTGAGATTTGATGTCAAAATATGTTTTTGTTCTAGAAGCATTAATTACTGTCGTGATCAAATTACTATCTTAGGTAAAACAAAACATTTAATGCAAAACTTTTATTTAATAAAGGGCGGATTAAACATTAAATCTCATCTAACACATGCATTTCATTTGATCAACTTTCTTCAACTTTACGCTCAACACTGGCGCACGACTGAGATATACGATTGCTTCCGATCGTACCCGATGCAAATAGAAGTGCGAGGTGAAATCTTTTTTCTAAAACCTCAAATATATGAGCGAACAGGCAACTAACTCGGAAAAACTACGAATTTAAGTACGTTCAAAAAGTAAGCTGCAGATTTTCTCTTGCAAAAGCGCTCCAACACTCTGGAATTTACAAACTTGGTGGGAAACCCCTGATTACATTTTCCGAGACATAATGTTTTTTTCATGAAATAAAAATTACTGTTGAAATGTAGGGACTTAAAAAAAGGTACTGGAAGAAGTTAATGACGTACCTGAATTTCTGTCGCTTTATTCCTAAAAATCCCAGCGCGAGACGCTCAGACGGCCATCGCTAACACACGGCGAGCACTGCTGCGCTCTGATTGGCCAGAACCAAAACCCTCCCCGATTCCCATTGGATAACCCGCGTCAGCATTGTTCCACTTGCGATAGGACAAAGATGTTACCTGCAGGAGCTCCGCGATTGGGCAAGTACAGCTGAATCCACTTTCCAGAACAATTGGCTGAAGGGAGCGCTGGTATTGATTTGCTTGACTGGTATTGGTTCGATAAGTGATGACACAATAATCGACTATTTTATATGCGTTACAAGAACGACAACTCGTTCCCAGAAATTCATGGGTAGAATACATTGCGTGACGAGATGAATCGATTACTTATTATTTTACTTTCTTTAATATCAGTAAAAAACTTTGATTCTTTCTATATATTACCAGAAGAGTGTTATTGCAATTCAATGCTTGACCATTAAACATGTTTTAATGTATTGCGGCTTTCATAACCAAAAAGCACTTTTAACTCCACTCCATTCTTTATTTTGCATTCTTACTAGTAAGTTAAACTGTGTTCATTAAAATAGCACAATATGTTGTATCAAGCAAGGGTATAGTAAATTACATGATTAGCTATCGATTTTAATCTTAGAAAGCACCTTTCCAAACTATTCTTGAGGGAATGCACATACATTTTATATATATAAAAACCTGAAAATGAAAAATTTGATGGGTGTGTATATATAGGTGTAGGGGTAAGGGAATACTTAGAATCAATCCAAAGAATGAAATTAACAGGAATATGAGACAAAACTAAATGAGCTTTGCACAACACTCAAAATATTACTGTACAAGAAGGGAAGTGGATGGAGTAAGTTTCAGGGAATTGTGGGATTACAAAAGCCTAGCGAGGCTGTTGATCTGATTCTCAGGTACCCAGGGCAACCTGGGGAGCCTTGTGTATGGCCAGAGGGATGACCTGGCGACTCTCCACCAGGCGCACAGCACAAGTGGGGGGGCTGGGGTGGGGTCAGTCGGATTGGAAGCCGAGGCTTGTCCAACACAAGACACTTGAGCTTTAG